CATTGAAGATTTAGTTATGAGCCCCTTCCAAATGAAATAATCAGTGAAATTATCCTAGCTTTGCCTGAAATTCAAAATATTGTATTTAAAAGCACGCATGAATATTAAATGTAATGATATGTGATTGCTGTAATTTGTAAGTATTTCTTTTTTTAAAAAAAAGTTTTCCCCTATGATGCCATAAACGGCAAAGACTGCTTGTACTTGCCAACTCATCTTGGTGCTATACTAGGCTTGCATCCAAAATCAGCCACTCAGAGAACGGTTTGAGTCTGGAGAAGGGCACCAATTTGCACCTTTAGACCAATGAGATGAAAAATCACATACTTTTCTGTGCCCCTCCCCCCCGAAATTACTATTATTGCTTGCTTGTTTATCCGAAGAACAGATGTTAAGTTGACTTTTCTTTCCATATTTATAGGTCGTTATGCATTCCATCTCTGGAAACCACTAGAACAAGTTTTCACAGAAACAGCAAGAAAAATCTCAACTGCTGTGAGTTTAGTGCTGAGATCTCATTTATGGGTTTTTTAAAAAAGTGTTAGATGATATTCAGGTGTAAATACCTAATTCAGGTTAGCTGTTTATTCAAGACATGAATTGTGAACTGACCAACAGATGTTTGTGCTATGATGGATCAATCTTTAATATTTTTCACAAGTTTATTTTTTTTGCAATAGAGTAATAGAGCTACTCCTTTTTTGTTTTCCAAGTGGCTATGTAATGTATACTCAAGTATAAGCTGACCCGAATATAAGCCAAGGCACCCAATTTTACCACAAAAAACTGGGAAAACTTTTTGACTCGAGTATAAGCTGAGGGTGAGAAATGTACCAGCTACTGGTAAATTTCAAAATAAAAATAGATAATAATAAAATTACATTAATTGAGGCATCAGTAGGTTAAATGTTTTTGAATATCTGCCGTATTTCAAAGAAAAACAGGAAACTATCTCTGTAAGTGGAAAAGTAGGGTCAACAAAAACAATATGGTATCAATAATAACTTAATCATCATCATAATAAAATTTCATTTGTATCCTACCCTATCTCCCAATGGGGACTCAGGCCAGCTTCCAACATAGTAACAGGCAAACATTCAATGCCTATATCAACAATGCAGAGCTAGATATAGATCTATAATTATATATACTAATTTCACATATGCATTTACCCCTGAAATGTTTGCAAATCTTCTCTCTCTATAGGTGCATTTTCCTCCTGCAATATTTACAAACCTATATATCTATGTTTATATCTATCTAGACATGTATGTATGTGTGCATTTCCCCCTTTAATATTTGCAAGCCCAATATATCTATACTCATAGATAGATAGATAGATAGATAATTATATCTATATAGGATTTGCAAAGACCTGCAAACATATGATTAGAAAATTGGATGGGTTCGAAAGAGAGCCATACAAACAAGGAGGACATGAAATATATCTCACACCCCCACTTTGACTAAAAAAAACAACACACTGGCAAGGGAGGTGAAGAAGAGAGAGAAAAATATTATCTATTCCAAGCAATGGCCTCCAGGCTCTGTTGCCTGGCCTTGACCCCATTATAAGCCAAGGGAGATGTTTTCAGCTAAGAAAAGGGAGGCTGAAAAACTCGGCTTATCTTTGAGTATATATGGTATATATATATATATATATATAGAGAGAGAGAGAGAGAGAGAGAGAGAGAGCACATACGAAGTTTTGAAACATATTTTTGCAATTCAAGAACATTTTCTAAGTGTCTTAATATTTTATGCGCTATAGTCGAGGGACACTGTAAGTGCAAATTAGGCCCTTTACAGTTCAGATGTCCAATACTGGTAATTTCCTTCATGTTGGTATAATGCATCCTAATTTGTCACCAAGGGCATCATTTTTAAAATAATGTATTCTGATAATGGATTGAACTAATAAAGTATTGTTGTAATATCACAGGCATGTTCTAAACATTCCTCTGTAGGAAGAATGAGCTAAATGCAATTCGTTGCCCCAAGTAAAATAAAATCCCTAAATCAGAAACAGTGTACCAAGATTTTACTTTAACATATTCCATTCATTCAATGGACCTGTTCTAGTTGGAATTGACAACTGAATCTAACTTCAAGGCATGCATTCCTTTTCAGTTTGGTCAGATTAGGTGAGCTAGGTTCAAACTGCATAGTCACTTTGATCAGATGTTACAACTATAACTTTTAAATATAACATTTATATATTTTTAATTGCACAATTTAAAGAAGAAAGTACTCTTTTACACAGAGACTTTCCAAGAGTATTCACTGATAACTTGCTATTTTAGTTTATTGGTATTAGATGCAGAGAATACAGTTTTCAAAAGCCTTTCTTTATGTCTGACTGAGTTTGAAATGCAAGGGATTTTTTTTCCAAAGGACTTCTCAGTGTTTCATTTCTATAAATCAAAAGATATCGATCCACATATGTACTTGCTTATTATTTGTATGCCAATAAAAGGACGCTGTTATTTGAATTACACCTTTTAAGACCTCAATGTTAAAAATGGTTTTTAGAAAGTGCAAAAAGATCCTATGCTTCTCTTTGCTCTTAGCTATTATGTCAAATATGACTTGCTTTTAAAAGATAAAAGTTGGCCTTATCTCCCGAAGCAATGAAAGCTCTACAAAAAAGTCAGAAAAGTCTTGTTACATTGATCATGTTTCAAGATCAAATCTGAACCTTTTGTGTCTCTACATGAGACCTTCATAGTATTCATACCCTGCAGACCAAAGGTAGTATTTGTGATCCGAAGTCTTTTCAGAGTTTATCCTAAGTTTGGGAATAACAGTAAAATCCTTAATTATAAGTTACCCTCTCTGCCTTTTATTCCCTTAACACTCAATGTTCTGTTTGCGCAAGTTATTTATGTGGAAGGTACCTTGATCTCGCTGAGAGCAGATTGGAATACATAAATAAACGGTAAACAAAAATTTAATAAACAACAAAGTTCAAATTCTCTCTCCTCCCAGGACAGAGTCTTTGTTAAGAAAAGGTGGAAATCTTGCAGATGTGAGGCTTCTATTTACTTAACTTTATCTTGTGTGATGACTTCTTGTTCCTTCGTTCATCTGTCTCTAGTAATGGAGCTCTGATGTAACATGCTCATTGTGCTTCTCTCCAGCCTTCCGCTACTCCAATATAGACAATTCCAAGGGAGCAATTGGATCTGGTTATGAGGCTCCACCCCGGAGAGGATTCTTAAAGGGGCAGGGGAAAGGGATTTATTAAAGCAGTGGTTCTCAACCTGTGGGTCCCTAGATGTTTTGGCCTTCACATTGCAGAAATTCTAACAGCTAGTAAACTGGCTGGGATTTCTGGGAGTTGTAGGCCAAAACACCTGGAGACCCACAGGTTGAGAACCACTGTCTTAAAGGAAAGGGCTAACTGTAGTGTCCCCCGTCCCCCGTCCCCATGATTATTATACACAGAAAACTAGATTTTTCCTAACTAATAAAGGCCCAAGCTCAGGGAAATGGCAGAGGCTTCTGTGGGGCATGGCACTCAATGAATATATTTTAAAAGATTTTCATTGATACCTAATTCAGATCTCAATCAGATTTTTCTTTCTAGACATTTTAGACTAAAATTTCTATTATATTCAGCCAGTATGTTTTTTGGTTGATGATTGACGTTTTTCAGTGGATCTGGAGGAGTCTGGGCCTAATGAAATTGAAATTCAACTTAATTTTTTAAAATTTTTATAATTGGCTAAATCGTAATTTGACCTCCATAGTCCATCTCAAACTCATTATTCCATTAATTTCAGTTGGACACATGGTTAAAATATCTCCCATTAGCATTGTATTGGCTACATTAATGAGACATTTAGACTTGGGGGGGGGGGGGCTTAGAGGTACTGTCATATACTTTAACATCCTTCTATAGTAAATCAATACATTTGGAAATCAAAGCACAGAAATACTGAAACCATTCCAGATAATAGCATTTTAGCACTTCAAGGAACTCTGTATCCTGCATTTTTTTCCCTAGAGAACATTAATAATGACATTTACAATGCCATGGTTGTATATGGTACTTGGCACATTTTATTTTTTACAAAAGGAGAAGGGGAAGGTAGTTGAAAGACAAACTGAGAGGCATTTTTTTGTATCTCCCATAGGTTTTTAAATCGCCAATTAGCAGACTCAAGCAGTTCTTTGGTAAATTGCAGAAATGGTGATCTAAGACAGATCACCTCCTAAGTTCATTCCAGTTTTCAACTTTCATAACTCAACTGTGCTTAGATTGCAGATGAATGAAAGAAAAGATAAACATATATAGACATTTCTTGCTTCTCTTGTAGAGCTGGAGCTTATATACTATTCAGCCATAGTTTTGTGGCTCCAGATAAAAAAAAGTGCCATCTGCATGAGAGAACATTAATCGATCTAATTATTTTATCTTTCCTGTCTCATACAGAGTCTTTCTTCATATTACAAAGGAGGATTTGAGCAGAAAATGAATAGACGAGAAGCTAGCCTTATTTTAGGCATAAGGTAAGTGTTCTGCATAGAAATAACATTGCTTTCATCTGAAATGAAAAATGATATAAAATGTAGGACAGAAATATTCCACTCAATAATTTTAGTTGTGATTAAGTATCTTTTTAAAAGGGCTTGTACACAAATGTATGTGGATTTTTATCCCTTTATTAGCAAATGCTTTGCTTTTGAATTACGTAGTTACTTGTATTGACCTTTACATACTGCCATGGAATTTGCAGTGGGCTGTTGACTGAGGAATCCCAGCTCACAGATCTTAGCCAAGAAAAACAGGCTCTGGTCCAAAGATGGGCCTCTATGCAGGTGTTGGCATTGTTTGCGGGTGCTTATGCCAGTGGCCAGACCACCTCTTGTGCAAAGGTGGGTGGAGCACAGAACAGACTGCAACCCAGAACAGATAAACTTTGGGAGACCTCTCTTCAGAAATGTAGTATCATCTCCTAACCACCAGATGGCAAGTGCCCCTAGTTTTTTTGCTTCTCAGAAGTGAACAAATGGCTATTTTACAGTTTGCAGGAATAATTACCTATAGTAAGCACATTAATTTATCTTTATAGCCCATCTGCTGGCAAGAACAAAATTAGAGCTGCTCACAGACAAATCATGATTCTGAATCATCCCGATAAAGGTATGTTTTTGTATTTCATGAATATTAGCGTTCTGACAAACCCTCCCTCATTACTCAATGATTGCTCTTGGTTGCTAACTTTACAGTTTCTCTGTGCAAGATGTTTCAAAGCAAAGCATCAACGGTTACCTGCAGTATTTTCAGCTTGTATCAAACAGTTTAACATCCCTCCGCTATGAACCGTAGCAGGAAATGTAATGGTTGCCTTTGGGGTCATTCACTAGATCACAAGCCTAACTAGCTGTCAAGAGCAAGTTTGTGGAGCTGATCTGTCAAGCTGCCAGCTTTTGAAGAAGAGGAAATGTTAGCCATGAAGCTGTGAAAACATCCACATCTACTTGTATAGGATCTTTGCAACTATACATAGACAAACACATACATTTTTAACAAAATGTGGTAGAAATGACAAATATATGTACTATATTTTAGTGCTCTTAAAATAATAAAACCACGAACAGATGTTTTAACTAGCCAGGTTTTTAATGTAAACTGATCCTCCCCCTCCCCAAAAAGCTCTTATTATAACTTTAACTACACTACAGCTGGTTGAGAAGGGAAAGCCCATATGTTCGTTGCTGTTTGTACTTTGATACAACAGATGGCTGAGAGTTGCACAGTATTTAAAAAGCCAGAAAGGGGAAAGTCAAGATTTTTTATATCTGTTTGACAGATTTGTAGTTTATTCTTTGTCATTTCAGGAGTATAAAATTAATTCTGACCTCATTAAGGTGAAAGGTATGGATTACAGACACTTTTGGTTTTCCAGTGGTTATTTTTAACTTAATTAGCCATTAGATTTACAGTGTGTATCCAGATTGAGTCAGCCATAGAATAAAACATTTATGGGTGTGAAGAATTGTAATTGTGATGGAACAGTGATCAGAATACTGAGAGTCTGCATTTAATTCTGCATTATTGTACTGTAGCTTTGCTCCTGGGAGAGTTGCGGATAGCAAGTCTGGCTTGCACCTGATGCCATTTTTGAAGGGGCTTTGTCTAAAAGTCACCATATTGCAGTTGTGACTCAGTCCTCAGCAACGACTTAAGTGAGCATCTGGCACAGGCTCCCTTTGCTCCTTTTCACCTCATTCGTCTCCTCTGGTCCTTTGTTTACATTCCCAGGCAGCAAATGCATTTTACATTTTTAGGCCCAATGTTAGAGGTTTTTTTCCTGACCTGTTTCATAGAGTTTTCCCAGCCCTGGTCTTCACAGATGGATATGAATATTCAAGCATTTTTAAAGAGTCAGACCTTCACTAAGACATCAGTTCTGGCATCAAGTCATGATAAGAACACTTCGTGTAATTGCCCACAATGGAAATACTAGAGGTACAGAGTCAGTTACAGTGTCCATGTGCTTTCTTTGGAGGCTTGAATGAAGACTGTAAAAAGATGTTGGGTAATTTCAAAAAAAGGAAAAGCATTTAGAAATGTAAAGCAGCAACAGCAGGAGTTTTAGCGGATCAGAAGCTTCTTGAACTAGCAGTAGAACGAATGGGCTTCAGCAATTACAGAAGCAAAGTCAAACTTTAAAAGTTATAAAAGGCTTATTAAAAGAATTACATTTCTATATAGGAAAGTAAGGGTCTAGCTGTCTATCTTTCTGGAAACATCCTGTCTCTCTCCATGCTCACAGGAAAAGAGCAAAATTGAGGACTCAGACTTGCCATACGATTTGGAAATTTTGAATAAAAAGAGGCATGTCCCTGAGAACGATCAGTGTAACAAACAGAAAAGTAAGAGAATAGAGAGACAGGCAGACAAAGTGAGCAATGGGGGAAGGCCTTTTCCTACCAGCTAACTCATCTGCCTGTCTATTCCCTTGATGAAGACTATACACTTGTGTAGGGTGTGACTGAGTTCCAACAAAAGGAATACACAATTATTCAATAGACACATGTAGTGTCAATACTTCTCTGTGTTTATTCTTCTCTATCTAACTTGGTAACATATTTTACTTTGAAACTCTTAGTTTGTAAATTATTACACATACCATTGTACAGTTCTATAGTTCCTTGTTTTCAGTGTATCCAATCTAGTGCAAGCTTCTCAACACTAGTACTGTTTGATGTGATTAGCAGCAGAGGATATGCTGAAGACCACATGAGGAGCAACATCTACTGGGAATTCTCTCACTTAGCGCCATTTAGGTCTTTCCAGTGATGATACACCAATCATTTTGTAGGAGTGTCTTAGATGAGTAAGACTATTTGGCATGAGAGCTGGACCATAAGGAAGGCTGAGCGAAGGAAGATAGATGCTTTTGAACTGTGGTGTTGGAGGAAAGTTCTGAGAGTGCCTTGGACCGCCAGAAGATCCAACCAGTCCATGCTTCAGGAAGTAAAGCCCGACTGCTCATTGGATGGAAGGATAGTAGAGGCAAAGATGAAGTACTTTAGCTACATCATGAGAAGAAAGGAAAGCTTAGATAAGACAATGATGCTGGGGAAAATGGAAGGAAAAAGGAAGAGGGGCCAACCAAGGGCAAGATGGATGGATGGTATCCTTGAAGTGACTGGATTGACCTTGAAGGAGCTGAGGGTGTTGACGGCCAACAGGGAGCTCTGGCGTGGGCTGGTCCATGGGGTCATGAAGAGTTGGAAACGACTGAACGAATGAACAACAAAAACAACAAAAAATAAAGTCTGCAACTAGTTTATTTCCTATTACTTATCTATGTTGATCTGGTCCTAAGACTTTTGATGAATGGTAAAGCATGTGTGAGTATTGTAGATCTGGATGTGGCCATGATCTGGCATTTGGGAATGCAGCCATGTCTCACATTTTGACCATTCATCCCACTGTTTCTCTGATGGAAAAAGAATTTCCTGACTGCATCATCATGCTAGATCACCCCACATTTATATGGCTTTATATATGTATTTTAAAGTCTTGTAGCAAGTGTGAGAGACATAAAATTTGTGTTCTTCATGGGGTTCTGCATTGAGCTTCAAAGAGTTCTATATCTGTGCTTCGGTCTGTATGTGTATACATTTATGTTTCCTTTTTTCTAGCTCTAAACAATTGTTGGTGGCTGAGTAGAGAGGGTCTAGCGCATGAGTTTGTGCCAGAATTTTTAAAAAGATCACCAGAGATTTCACATAGAGTCATATACCTTGTGTTCTAATACTGCGTTTGCACTGGTACTTTCACATGATGGCATTCCCCTGAACAGCTGCGAATAAAACTTTGTGCACATCTTCACAGGCAAACACGTAGGTGTGTGCAATTGCAAGTCATGACAGCAGACCTTTGGATGTTTTCAGCAGCAGGAGGCAGATGGTTGGCACCCAAGGGGAGAGTAAAAAAACAAACAAAACACCAAGACTGCTGAACTGTAATCAGATTGTTAGATGGACTGGAAAGCAATGACAGTGTTGAAAACTGGGAAGAGGAAGGCATTCTGTGTTTTAAATAGGTTTATTGTGATGCTCTTGGCTGGTGTGCCTTTGCCTTCAATCAAGAATGAACGGAACACTTAATAAATCTGCATTAAAAGTATTCCTACAAGCATTTTATTCAAGAATGTTATCAAAATATTAAAAGAATTTACTGGAGAGACATAAAATACCTCTGGTTTTTGATACTATTAAGGGCACATCAAAATGGATACATTAAAGATGGAACTGTTCTTGCTGCATAATATCTGCACTAGGCCAAAAAATTCATGAAAGACATCATTAGTGCTTCACTCTGATGTGATAGTAGACAGTACATGATTTTCAAGTCCTGTGGGGTTTTAAAAGAAGTAACAGGATGATTCCCACAAGCAGCTCCTGGGTGTGCATAAATAAATGTAACATTATTAACGAAGCCTGCAGTGTAATGTAGCACTTCAAAGTTTTGCCCATGGATCTTCCAGAACACTAATTCCTCAGTCAGACATGACACAAGGCTATGGATGGGAGCACGGGAAAGACCTATGGGAGCTTTCCTGTACTTTTGAAAAGGTATTCATTTGAAATTGTGTTAAATTCTTGCATGAAACTTAATTTGTGAAAAGATGTGTAAAATATATTCACATAACAAGGGATCATGATGTTAGGATAAATCCATTGTAATTATGGCCCAGCTTACCTGTCCGAATGTATCTCCCTCTATGAATTACCTCGGAGATGAAGATCGTCTGGGGAGGCCCTGCTTTTGGTCCCACCTTCCTCGCAAGGGTGACAGGTGGGGATAAGGGACAGGGCCTTTTCAGTGGTGGCCCCTTGGCTGTGGAACTCCCTCCCTAGCGACATTAGATCAGCCCCTTCCTCCTAGCCTTCAGAAGGAAAGTAAAAACTTGGCTTTGGGATCAGGCTTTCAGAGAATAGTGCATTACAATAACAGATTTGGAATATGTGCAGTGACAATGGACGTCTTTGGACTAGTTATGGATGGCGTGATTTATATTAAATGTAATGTTTTTAAATGTTTTAAATGCTTAATATGTATTAATTTTAATTTTAATGTTACTGGAATTTTATGTGTTTAAGGCATTGAATAATTGTCTATATGTAAATAATTGTCTTTATTTACTCTATTTATACCCCGCTTTGAGCCCCCTTCACAGTAGAGTAAGGCGGGGTATAAATAGATTAAATGAATAAATAAATAGTGATATTTTTTCTTCTTCTTTTGTTTTAGGTGGCTCTCCCTACTTAGCAACAAAAATCAATGAAGCAAAAGACTTGTTGGAATCCAGCAATAAACATTAAGAACTGCAGAACTTCTGATTAAATGTGCAAAAATGGAAATGAGTCACCAAAAGATTTCTAGCGCAGTTGATTCCTGTTGAATGCTGGACAAAATTATTGATGTCTGCAGCTGTTAATGGTTCCACAAACACTGAAGATGCCATTTCATGATTGAATAATAAAAGTCAGCTCTGCATTTGGAATGGAATTTCACTTGTGCAATTCTTGCAGGAAAAGTGCATTACATGATATTACATTTGAAGCATGACTCTAGCCTACAGAAAAGATTCATGATCAGTACCATGACTTTCCATAGTTCCACTATACATAGTTCCACCTCATCTCTCACAATCCACACAAATGTCTTATTCCTGCCTTCCTCCCACAGCATGGCTACATATTAGCCAGTGCAGAGCTACAGTAGCAGCAGAGAAGAAGCATCTAATTATGTCCCTATAACATGGTGGACCTCATTGATAAAGCCGGGTAAAGTGGGGAGAGGATAGCATAGTTCTCTCCAAAAGAATTTTATGTTGCATCTATCTATCTGAACTATGACCTACTATAGAATCATAGAGTTGGAAGACACCTCGTGAGCCATCCAGTCCAACCCCCTACCAAGAAGCAGGAAAATTGCATTCAAAGCAACCCCGACAGATGGCCATCCAGCCTCTGTTTAAAAGCCTCTGAAGAAGCAGCCTACACAAACATACAGGAGCCCTGTTCCATAGTCTGTCTGACAACCCTAAAGACTACCCAAAGACCTACAAGAGTGTTATAGAGAGAGTGCTGTGATTATACATATTTCTTTACAGAAGAAAGTGGCATTGAACATGGCAGAAACCCACATGTTTTCAGCCTAAAGTTTTTCTGAGTTTACCTAGCTTTCCCCAACATCTGTCACTTAATAATGATAGAGAAGTGCTGACCCAACTGTTCTCCAGAATATTATGGAAGACTGCAAATTTTGTTGATCTTGTCTAATTATCATCTGTGAACATTGTTTTCAAGCTGATGTCTTTGTACTCTTTTTAGTGCTATTTCTTGTAACAGTTGCATTCCTTTTTGTCAGTTCCCAGTATCTTCACAATATTAATTTTAGACAGAGCTTTTATGACTCCTCACCCTTGCACACTAAGCACATTCACAGTCAGTGAAATATCTACTTTTTAAAATAATGTCGTAATCTATCTTTAATAGATTTACTGTTGAAACATGTAGGCAATAGTACTCAAGAGTCTTGATAATGCTTGTTTTATTGAATGTACTTTTCATTTGTGTTTATCATTTGTGCCCTGATAAAAGTTCCACAGCTTATTGTACTTATTATCCACAGGTTATTTTATTTTTTCTTCTATATGATATATTTTTGACAGTTTCTACAGCAGACTAATTTAAAAAGTGCCTTTAAATGATTGCCTGAATATCTTGCCTGCACACTGAAAGCTTGATTTACCTTTCACTAATAAGGGAGCTGTGAGGAGAAATGCAAAAGTTTCTTGGTTCCTACTGCAATCTGTATGCTATCTGGCACATTGCCCAAAAGCGCAATTTCTCTGGTAGGCAATGAAAATGTTCTTCTGACCCATTTTATGATCTGATGACTGTTGCTGTTCCCATCTAAATGTCCTGTTTTGTTGCTCGGCTAGGGGAAATAATTTATTAAAAATTCACATAAAATTTTAATGGAAACATAAATACACATAAAACTGTTAATGTTCCTTTCTGCTTTAAATTAAACATCCCTTTATTTGTGTTACTACCTTTTGTCTTTTCTTCATCCTTTTACATCATATTAAGTATTCCCCTCTTTGAGTATTTTTGTCCTCCTCAAGAAGATTGGGAAAGGGCTTTATCTCCATATCATCATCATTATACATATAACGCAATCCCTGTAACATGGTGTTTTACAAGTAAAAACACAACATTCCCTGCCCTAAGACTTGCATCCATTTATAGCATGACAAAAAAGGAACAAAATGGAATATGGGAGGGGATTAAGTCACAAATACTGCTTGTGTTTTTATCTTTTTAACTTTCCAAATTAGATTTCTATTCACATTCATTTGTGGTTTAGATTACAAAGTCTTCACATATATAAGTTAATTTAGCTACTTATGCCATAAGCAATGGAATCGTTGGATATCGAACGTACCATTTATTAGGAAGATCTTGAAGCAGGATCTTCCTAATAAACAACTCCAGGGATTCTTGGATGAGGTTCATTAGCTGGATCCATTCCAGTCTGGCTTCATACCAGGACGTGGTAAAGAAACAGCTTTGGTTGCCTTGATGGATGATCTATGGCAGTGCTTCTCAACCTGTGGGTCCCGGGTGTTTTGGGCTACAACTCCCAGAAATCCCAGCCAGCTTACCAGCTGTTAGGATTTCTGAAAGTTGAAGGCCAAAAACATCTGGGGACCCACAAGTTGAGTACCACTAATATATGGGGAGAGCTTGACGGGGGGAGTGTGACCCTGTTAACACTCCTGGACCTCTCAGCAGCCTTAGATACCATCAATCATGTTATCTTCCTGGGAAGGCTGGAGGGGATAGGGATAGGAGGCACTGTACTACAGTGCTTCCAATCCTTCCTTGCGGACCGGTCCCAAAAGGTGATATTGGAAGAGTCCTGCTTGACTTCATGGCCAGTGGGGTCCTGCAGGCTCATTGCTATTCCTAATGTTATATAACATCTACCTGAAGCATCTGGGAGAGATCATCCGGAGTTTTGGAGTTTGGTGTCATCTGTACGCAGATGATGCCCAGTTCTACTACTCCTTTTCACCCGATGCCAAGGAAGCGGTCCTCTCCTTGGACTGTTGTCTGAAGGCAGTGATGGACTGGATGAGGGTTAATAAGTTGAAGCTCAATCCAGACAAGGAGGTACCTCTTGGAAGGTGGTTCTGAGAGCAGTATTCCAGCCTGAGATGGACGAGGTTACACTCCCTTGGAAACCTCAGATGCGCAGTTTGGGGGTCATCCTAGACTCCACTTTAAACCTGGAGGCCCAGGTGGCAGCGGTGACTTGGTCGGCCTTTACACAGTTAAAGCTAGTGCGCCAACTGCGCCCGTTCCTGGAGACAGTGAAGAAAATAGTACATTCAGATTGGACTATTGCAATGCGCTCTATATAAGTCTGCTCTTGAAAAGTGCCTGGAAATTATAGTTTATTCAAAGAGCTGCAGCCAGGCTTCTAACGGGAGCTGACTCAGGGAGCACACCACACCTATCTTGAAGTGGCTCCATTGGTTGCCTGTCAGTTTCTGGGCTCAATTCAAGGTGCTGGTTATCACCTATAAAGCCCTTTATGGCTTCGGTCAGCTTTCCTGAAGCACTGTGTCCCTTGCTGCATCCCAGGGTGAGCACTCTGATCCAGTAGGGAAACACTCATCTCCACATGTGCTTTTATTAGAAGCCACCCTGAGTTTTCCCCAGGGGGTTGAGAAGGGTGGGGTACAAATATTTGAAATAAATAAATAAATTTTACAAGTATGCGGTTCCACAGCATGAGAGAAGGATCCTTTTCGAGGGCATCACTTGCTCTCTGAAATGCCCTCCCAGAAGAATTAAAAGCGGCACCATCCCTACTTACTTTTAAGAAAGGTGTCTGTTTAAGCAAGTCTTTGAGTAATTCATTGTAGGATTATTGGGAATTTTAGTCTGTAAATAGCATGGGTGTCTCCGGTAGAGAAAGTTACAGATAAGAATGTTATTGGTTTTATTGTGTGTTTTTACCATGGTCTTACCCAGTGTTTTTACCCAGTGGTGCAGTGGGTTAAACCCCTGTGCCGGCAGGACTGAAGACCGACAGGTCACAGGTTCGACTCCGGGGAGAGTGCGGATGAGCTTCCTCTATCAGCTCCAGCTCCTCATGTGGGGACATGAGAGAAGCCTCCCACAAGGATGATAAAAAAAAAACCATCTGGGCATCCCCTGGGCAATGTCCTTGCAGGCAGTCAATTCTCTCACACCAGAAGCAACTTGTAGTTTCTCAAGTCTCTCCTGACACGACAAAACAAACAAACAAATAAAAAACATGGTCTTATTTTATTGTTTACAAATTTTGTATTGTTGAAATTCGTATCTTTTTACGATGTAAGCCGCCTTGCGTCTGCAATGCAGAGAAAAGTGGGGTAAAATACTCTAAATAAACTAAAGATAAAATTTTCAAGCCTACTGCTTAGAAAAAAACCAAAATCAAACTGGTGAGGGAGTTTTATAAGAAAGGGAACAGTTCTTACTTTTATAGCCTATCTGTTCACTACAAGGGAAAGCAGCTTACAGCAGTAAAACCCAAAAGTATACTCCTAAGGCAAATCACAAAAAGGAAAATAACATGGAATAATGGCCATGACCCTTTGGGTATAACTTCAATCAAAAACAATGGAAGGCAATGTAAAAGCCAAGCCTCTGTCTTGAACAAGCATGACTTCGCCTGTTGGCAGAAGGCCACTGCAGCTGGAACTGGGCTGGCCTCCCTAGGCAACCCCGCCAAAAAAACCATCCCTGCGTTCTGCCATTCGTGGTAGTGGGAAAGAATTAAAGGCCCTTCCTCGGGATGCCAAAAGAAGCCTGCCCCCATGTCATGAAGTTCTTGCAGCCTGATTCTAAAATTATAGCCAATATTTGAACTATACCCTTAAGCAGACCATTGATGGAGCCAATCTGACATCTGTTCAGTGGAAGTCTTGCATCCTGTTTCTGTAACAAATTGAACTGGCTGATGCTTTTGGATGCTTTTTCTACATAAAGTACCTTGTTTAAAATACTCAGTAATTAAGGCATGTATCACTTTGTCCTATTCCGACAGCAGATATCCCTAGAGCAGAATTTCTCAATTTGTGCCCCTCCAGATGTTTTGGACTTCAGCTCCTACAATTCCTAACAGTTGGTAAACTGGCTGGGATTTCTGGAAGCTGGAGTCCAAACACCTTTGAGAAACATTATCCTAGAGCAATGGAATGGTTTCCAGTTGTCATAGGGGTCAGACAAGACTTTTTTTTTATAACTCTTCTCTGTTTAACTTGTATGCTGAACATCTAATGCAAAGCTGGATCAGGCTCAGAGGACAGCGGAGTGAAAATCTGAGAAGGAACATCAACAATTTTAGAAAGCAGAAAACCTCAAAGACTTGCAACAATTACTGAGCAAAGTCAGTGAACATGTTGTCAAAGGCTTTCATGGTTGGAATCACTGGGTTGCTTTGAGTTTTCTTGGCTGTATGTCCATATTCCAGAAGCATTCTTTCCTGACGTTTCACCTGCATCTATCACAGACATCCTCAGAGTTTGTGAGGTATGTTGGAAACTAGGCAATTGGGGTTTATATATCTGGGGAATGTCCAAGGTGGAAGAAAGAACTCTTCTCTGTTTGAGGCAGATGTGAAAGTTGCAATTGGCCACCTTGATTAGAATTGAATAATCTTTCAGCTTCAAGGTCTGGCTGCTTACTGCCTGGGGGAATCCCTTGTTAGCTGGCACTGATTGATTCAAGTCTGGAATTCTTCTATTTTTTTTAGTGTTGTTCTTTATTTACTGTCCTGATTTTAGAGTTTTTAAAGATTTTGTTCATTTTCATAGTTTCCTCCTTTCTGCTGAAACAGTCCACATGCTTGTGGATTTCAATGGCTTCTCTGTGTAGTCTGATATGGTGGTTGTTGGAGTGGTCCAGCATCAACGTGTACTCTGTGTCCAGGTTGGTTCATCGAGTGCTCTGCTATGGCTGACTTCTCTGGTTGAATTAGTCTGCAGTGCTTTTCATATTCTTTGATTCATGTTTGGGCAAGTCAGTGAAGAAAATGCAAAGAAATTCCCTACTCCAATGTGAGTGTGCATCAGGTGGGTTGTAAGCAAACTGGTGTTCGTGAGAAGGATCGACAACATCCATTTTAATGTTTGTTAATGTTTAATAATTAGTAGTATTAATTCTGAGCAGGTGCAGCTAGATAGGAACAGTTTTGCCATATCATTTCAGGAGGAAGGCCAGTCCCTCATCCTAGTTGTAGTAGGACTTGAGCTTCTTCTGGGATCCATGCTTAGAATCCAAAATATAAATGTCCAGGAAATGATAATCTAATCTGTACTAATTCCTAAACCTTAAAAAATGTATTTTATACTATGTGGATTCCTGAAGCATCCCTGGGGGAAAGAAAACACTTTGTAATGTCTTTGAGAGATATTCAAGTTGTGTTGAGTCTCGGCGCTGGAAGTAAAGCCCTGTGGCAATAGCAGCTAGCGGAGAGACTGCTCCACGGGCCCTTGATGGCTAAGCAGAATTCATGGAGAAAACAGTCAGGGATTTTTTGAAATTGACAGCTGGAAGAAATTGTGAGGAAACAAAGCAGAGAAAGAGATATTGCAATTGTAGGAAACAAAGCGACAGACTTGTTAATAGCCTGGAAAACAACAGTTGGTGCACTATTAGAAAATAAAATAAAAATTCAAGGTATGAATTCCTGCCAGTTGCTGATCTTGTTTCCATCACAAATGTGAGACAATACTTTTAATATTTCTGCAATAGTGAGGATTTTAGTTTTGCAGAGGTACAAAGGAAAAAAAATACAATGTTGAAACCCACCTTATGATGACCCTATGAATGAGAGACCACCAAGTCACCTTATTGCTCACAGCTCTACTCAGTACTTGCAGACTCAGAGCCATGGCTTCCTTAATTCGTCTGGAATGTGATCTTAGCTTAACAGACCAAGAGCCTTAGTTTAAAATTAAAAAGTACTCATATAGAAAGAACGCAGTTTCT